CCATAAAAAGCTGTTAATGACAGAAAACTGAAAACTGGGTTAGGGGTCGTCCATATACCACGTGGACACTTTTTAGACACTTTTTGACCCCCTCGTGGACAATCGGGTTTTTTATTTTAAAATAGTGAATATTAAAAAGATATTTAATAAGAAATACAATTAAAAAATTCTTTAAATTTTTTTATAACAAACTTCTTTAAAATTCAATAAAGATTAAATTATCTTAAAATATTATTAAATAGGTAAATGCCATTTTTAGTATTATAGAGAGGACTTTGGCAGCAATATATCTTCAATTATTATATTAGTAGAAATACTTAATCTCTTCGGTAACAAATCTTAAATTTTCTAAAATCCAATAGCTTTAAGCCTTCACATTAACAATAATAGAAATTATTTTTTTTAGAATTTGTAAGAGTTTGTAGAGGTTGCTTTGTATTCCTAATTGTCAAATTTCCATATATTCATATTTGTGCATTTACGATAATGATTTTGTAATATAAATTAAAAATGAATTTGGTGTTTTTTTGACAGTTAAATAAATTTCGGATTACAAATATTGTCTGATCACAATCTAATAATAATAAAATAATAAAGTTGAATAAAAAGAAAAAAAAGATATAAAATTAAACTTTTGTGTCCACGTGGACATTTGTATTGACCCCCCGCCCCCCTCATAGAAAATCGTGGATTTTTGGCGAACCCCCCCACCCCCTAAACTGTCCACGTGGTATATGGACGACCCCTTTACAGTTTCATCAAATTTTATAATTTTTGCACATTTAATTTTTAGCAGAAACCGACACGGATACGAAAAAACACTAAAATTCGTGTCGTATCCGTGTCGTGCATTGACACGATACAAAAAACGCTAAGTAATTCGTGTCGTGCCAAGGCACGACACATACACGGAAAAAAATTTCCAGTGAAAATTACAAGATTTCCTGTGCCATCTATGAACGGCGGTTGTAGTATCCACAAACGGCTGAGTTTGGGAAATACACAAACCAGAATGAGTCTTGTTACAAACTTCAGCTTATGATTCAACAGCTTAAACAGTTACGCAGCAGACGACAAGCAGACGTTCACTTGAATTTTTTTGCGCATGCGTGGATTTCTTAGTGTTATTACAGATTGGTATGTGGTACACCCAAACCAGCTTGTTGGAAACACAAAACTCGACTGCATAAAGCACAACTTAACCTATTAAGTTAATTAATAACACGAATTACCAATCAAAAATTATTAAGTGTCAATGTAAAAAAAAAAGTATTGGGACGTACGGGATTCCGTATTGCAAGTGCCAACCTGCTAATGCGGTATTCGCGAATTACCGCATTGGGTGTCGTAGTGAATACGGAAATCAAGGGGTCCCAATGCGGTGCCAGTTTTAAGCTTTAAAAAAACGAAAATACGTGACAGGAGGAAATAATTAGTGTCAGTGGAGAAATATGCGAGTTAAAGGAATGAGAAAATAATAATAGTGAGTGTAAAAATGAAATTTTAAGAAAAAAAGATAAGTTTAACTGTCAAATATGGGCCCAATGCGGCATAGGCTTATTTCAATGCGCCACAGCAAAAGCAACTTTGACTGGTTTGAATGGCGTGAAATAGGTAAACAAACATTTTCTAACACATTTGTCTCCGTACACAGACACTTTTCACTAAATCTGCCAACGTACAATTGGTAAGCATCTTCTAAATTACAATAATCGAAAATATTGTTTAGATTCATGCAGAAACGTGGTTATAAAATAAAAAATTGGAAAGTAATATAATGCAAATCATATGTCAGCTGGGCCACTGTGTTCGCTCGATTCGCTCTGCTTGCTTCTGCCCTCTACTGGCGACTTGCACTATGTACCGATTGTGTACCGCATTGAAAGCAGCCTACGCCGCATTGGACTCATATTTGACAGTTCAACTTACCTTTTTTTCTTAAAGTTTCATTTTTACACTCACTATTATTATTTTCTCATTCCTTTAACTCGCATATTTTTGCACTGACACTAATTATTTCCTCCTGTCACGTATTTTCGTTTTTTTTAAAGCTTAAAACTGGCACCGCATTGGGACCCCTTGATTTCCGTATTCACCAGGACACCCAATGCGGTAATTCGCGAATACCGCATTGGCAGGTTGGCACTTGCAATACGGAATCCCGTACCTCCCAATACTTTTTTTTTACAGGGAAGACACGACATGAATTACTAAATTACAAAATACTTTTTACAATCCAGAGCTGGAATTCATAGAACATTGAATCTTTTCAATTCTACGTTTAAGTCAAATAAACAAAAAAAATGTAATACTCACAACTAACTTTTAAACAACTAACGACTAATTATTATCGACTTTATAAAACTCGGTTTGGGGTAAAAGTGTTATTTTGCGATGGTCTAGCTAGAACTCATAAAAAATATTGAATCTTTTCGATTCTACTTAAGTAAAATTAACTAAATGACTTTTAAAGCTCACAACTAATTTTAGAACGACTAACGACTAATTATTATCGACTTTATAAAATAGAGTTTGGGGTAAAAGTGTATTTCTGCAAAAGCCTAGCTAGAATTCATGAAAATGATTAAATCTTTTCGATTCTACTTAAGTAAAATTAACTAAATGACTTTTAAAGCTCACAACTAATTATAGAACGACTAGCGACTAATTATTATCGACTTTATAAAATAGAGTTTGGGGTAAAAGTGTAATTTTGCGATGGTCTAGCTGGAATTCATGAAAAATATTGAATATTTTCGATTCAACTTAAGTAAAATCAACTAAATGACTTTTAAAGCTAACAACTAATTTTGGATCGACTAACGACTAATTATTATCGACTTTCTAAAAATCGGTTTGGGGTAAAAGTGTAATTTTGCGATGGTCTAGATAGAACTCATGAAAAATATTGAATCTTTTCGATTCTACTTAAGTAAAATTAACGAAATGACTTTTAAAGCTCAAAACTAATTTTAAAACGACTAAAGACTAATTGTTATCGACTTTATAAAATAGAGTTTAGGGTAAAAGTGTAATTTTGCAAAGGTCTAACTAGAATTCATTAAAAAAAATTGAATATTTTCGATTCTACTCGAGTAAAATTAACTAAATGACTTTTAAAGCTCACAACTAATTTTAGAACGACTAAAGACTAATTATTATCGACTTTACAAAAATCGGTTTGGGGTAAAAGTGTAATTTTGCGATGGTCTAGCTAGAAATCATGAAAAATATTAAATCTTTTTGATTCTACTTAAGTAAAATTAACTAAATGACTTTTAAAGCTCACAACTAATTTTGGAACGAATAACGACTAATTATTATCGACTTTATAAAATAGAGTTTGGGGTAAAAGTGTACTTCTACGATAGTCTAGCTAAAATTCATAAAAAATATTGAATCTTTTTGATTCTACTTAAGTAAAATTAACTAAATGACTTTTAAAGCTCACAACTAATTTTGGAACGAATAACGACTAATTATTATCGACTTTATAAAATAGAGTTTGGGGTAAAAGTGTACTTCTACGATAGTCTAGCTAAAATTCATAAAAAATATTGAATCTTTTTGATTCTACTTAAGTAAAATTAACTAAATGACTTTTAAAGCTCAAAACTAATTTTAGAACGACTAACGACTAATTATTATCGACTTTATAAAATAGTGTTTGGGGTAAAAGTGTTCTTCTGCAAAAGCCTAGCTAGAATTCATAAAAAATATTGAATATTTTTGATTATACTTAAGTAAAATTAACTAAATGACTTTTAAAGCTCACAACTAATTTTAGAACGACTAACGACTAATTATTATCGACTTTATAAAATAGAGTTTGGGGTAAAACTGGACTTCTGCAAAAGCCTAGCTACAATTCATGAAAAATATTGAATCTTGTCGATTCTACTTAAGTAAAATTAACTAAATGACTTTTAAAGCTCACAACTAATTTTGGAACGACTAAAGACTAATTATTATCGACTTTATAAAAATCGGTTTGGGGTACAAGTGTAATTTTTCGATGGTCTAGCTAAAACTCATGAAAAATATTGAATCTTTTCGATTCTACTTAAGTAAAATTAACTAAATGACTTTTAAAGTTCACAACTAATTTTGGAACGAATAACGACTAATTATTATCGACTTTATAAAACTCGGTTTGGGGTAAAAGTGTACTTCTGCGAAAGCCTAGCTAGAATTCATAAAAAATATTGAATATTTTCGATTCTACCTAAGTAAAATTAACTAAATGACTTTTAAAGCTCACAACTAATTTTGGAACGAATAACGACTAATTATTATCGACTTTATAAAATAGAGTTTGGAGTAAAAGTGTACTTCTGCGAAAGCCTAGCTAGAATTCATAAAAAATATTGAATATTTTCGATTCTACTCAAGTAAAATTAACTAAATGACTTTTAAAGCTCACAACTAATTTTGGAACGAATAACGACTAAATATTATCGACTTTATAAAATAGAGTTTGGGGTAAAAGTGTACTTTTGCGATGGCTTAGTTAGAATTTATAGAACATATTCATTCTTTTTGATTCTACTGAAGTAAAATTAAATAATTAAATAGCAATTTTTACTCTCCAAATTTGAGACACTTTTTTGTACTTTTGAAAAAATCTTGATTAGTTTACAAATTTGAATTGTCAACAGTTTTGACTAATTTTAGGTAATATTCTTTTAGTTTTTTAGATTGTTGTATTTTTTTAATTCAAGTTAGTAAGCTGACTTGTATTAGTAGTTTACTATTATTAATTAGTGAAAACTGTTACTTATTCAGTTAGTAAACAAATCTACACTATTTCATTAGTAAAAAACTGGTCATTCAGATTTAGAAATTTCTAATACAGAAGGTAATCCCAACCAATAAATTTGCATCAGCATATTTTATGTTTTGGCATTAATTTTTTTACAAGTATTGCAAATATAAGTCAATTACTTCTTCGCATAGACTAATAATTCGACGCATAAAGTATAATGTTTTGTAACCGTTTTTGCTTCCTGGATCTTATCATCGTAAATAACCCAATTGATGTGTCGTTTGGCGATTGCAGTGTAATGTCCAATTTGTTTTCTACATTCTACTACGGACTTGAATGGTGGGTCCTTTATACTCTACAACTCCTAAGAGGAAGTAGGAATCACCACTTTTTGGACATACGTATTCCGTTGGGATTGAACTTAATTCAAATTTTTGATCCATGTCGACACCAATTACAGTAATATTTCCTAGAATAATTGTTAATTAATTAAAAATATTTCGTTGTACTTATATACTAAAGTACTTACCAATTTTGTGAGTTTGGTTGTCTTCTACGTTTACGCAATTATTTTTCCGACATTTAACACCTGAAATAATAACATGATCAGTAATTACATTTTCCAAAGAAAGATTTAATTCCTTGTTAGAAATCATGATTGTATGCAGTGATTTTATGCGTTCGGGACATCCAGCTTGACATTGACTACTTTCTTGAAAGCTAGGTGTTAATTTGAAGAGAAAATCTGCCAACGACACAACGTTACAAGCACATTCAATTTCCTCAATACAATCGGGTTTAGGTTTTTTTTTAAAAAAATCGAGAAAAATTTTTGCTCGTGTTTTGTATGTAGATGTGGTAATTCCATTTTCGAAGACTTGCAAAACCATTTCAAATAACATATTTGATTGTCTTTCTTCAGTAACATATCGCTTTACATTTTCGTTGTCTGTGATTCCTGCCAATATAATTTGGAAAAGACTGTCTATTGGGCAAGTGTTGTACAAGGAAAATGATGACTGGTCTATATTTATTAATTTCAAGCTATTTTTTCCCCATATTTTAAAATTGCAAGACTGCGTAAGTTGGTTGAGGTGAGCAAATCATCTAAATTTTGATTAGTCTTGCCAAGATACAAAGGTTGTTTTTTTTGCTTCTTTGGACGCCCTAAATTTCTCCAATTTTCGATGTTATTAAGACCAATTTGCGTATCTTTTGTAGAACTACTATCACATTCAATGCACAATCTTCTTTCTCCATGACCTTCGTCTTTTCCTTCTATTCTGATAGAACATCCATCCAATATATGGAAATTTTTTTTACAAATAAGACAAATGTGGCTACCGGTGGGAAAATCTCCATTCGCGCAGGCCAGACATGCTGTATTCACATTGCTATTATATGAAGACGATAAATCTTTTAATGGACTTCTGTCACAAAAATTTTGTTTAGTCGATTCGATCGAAATGTCTTTTGAACAACTTTGTTTCTGAGCAACTTCATCTTCAACTTCAGAATCTTTAGAAAGACAAATTGAATTGTTCAGTTCTGCAGCTTCTGCGGATTCACGGTGGACATTTTCGCTTTTGTTATTTTCAGACTTATTAGAACAATCAATTAACTTCAATTTGCCTTTATAATAGTTTACGATATTTTCGACAGCAACGTCTAATCGTTCTTGTTTTTTTTTAATCTGCTGTTTTAAAGTTTTTATTTCAGCTTCGACTGGTGCACTGCTCGCTGGAACTCTTCCATAACCGAAATCGTCACGCCGGATACAAGACCAAACTGGTATAGTATATATTAATTTCATCAGTCGAGTTTCTACCCTTGGACAATGCCGAGGATTCAAGTCATCGCCTTTTTCTTTTTTTAGAATTTGATCGACGTTTCTTTTAATCGAAGTTGCCCAATTATGTAGAAAACCTTTAGTTTTAGTTTTCGATTCTACTGCTAATTTTTCCTCAATTAATTTGTTCTTCACATTTTCTTCTAACATAGAGTCTGCCATTTCTTCAAGTTCTTGAGGCGAATTGTTAATCAAATTTTTTAAAAAATCCAGTGATTTTTTCAAAAAATGTGCACCATCACCAGCAGTTTCAAATCGTGAAATTATGCAAATAGCTTCCATTATTTGTGTTGCTTCTGTTATACTTCTGGATAATATTAAATGACCCACGGCGAGTAAATAAAATCTTTTCACACCTTTTTTTCTGGTTTTAGGAAGTCTACCCAGTTTGTTAAAAAATGCGCAACATCAATTCTTATATATACTAGCGGTAATTGATCAGACATTAATGCCTCTGAGTACTGTTCAATGCTTCTAAAACCAGTAAAACAGCAGCAACATGCATTGAGCAGTGCACTAGATGAATCACAAACCTGAAAATAAAGAAAAATACATTTTTCTTAATTTTCGAAATCTCAATATATTTCTCTTCACGGTGTATATCAGAACTATTTGTAATTTATATGCACTGGAAAAAAATTATTTGAATCAAATAAAAATTACATGATGCAATTAAATGGTTTTTAATTTAAATAAATATTTATTTGCATCAATATAATAATATTTTTTAAATAACTAAATAGTTATTATTATGAAATATTCAATTTTTTATCATAATTAATTACTTTAATGAGACTAATATCTGTTTAATTTCTTTAAATAATTAATTATTTAGTCCAAATACAAAATTTATTTGCATCAAAACAAAGCAGTTTTGGATTCAAATAAATCTTCATTTGTATTAAATAAGTGAATCTTTTTCCATTTCCATATATAAAAAAATTATAAAAATTTAAATTTTAACCCCTTGGCAGTCTATGACGTGTATACACGTCATGGTGCAGGTGGGCTCAAACTGTCGATGACGTGTATAGACGCAAGCAGATTTTTGGCTACAAAAACACACAGATTTGTTCACAAATTATCCTTTCAAAAGTTTTTCGTAATTAGCGAAAACCCTCTAGTAACGAGTTTTAAATGAATCCGATAAATTTTAGAAAATTTCATTCGCCATATTGGATCCGCTATTTTGAATTTTCAAAATCTGAAATCGGTTTTGTAATCAGCGACCCCAAAAACCCCCGAGTAAAAAGTTTTATGTGAATCTGATGAATTTTAGAAAATTTCGTCCGCTATATTAGATCCGCCATTTTTAATTTTTAAAATCTGAAATCGGTTTCGTAATCAGCGACCCTGAAAACCCCCGAGGAAAAAGTTTCAAGCGAATTCAGTCGATTTTTAATTTTCATGTCCGCCATATTGGATCCGCCATTTTGAATTTTCAAAATCTGATATCGGATTTGTAATCAGCGACTTCAAATACAATAGTATGCTCGTTTGCGCAAATTTTAGTTTTCTAAAAAGTTGTCGACATTTTCAGCCCACTTATGAGATTTTGGTCTTGACTGCGAAGGGGTTAAACTATTGATTCCACTTTCTAATTTGAATTAATTGCAGGCTTCGCACTCTTCTACTAAAACTTACTATTTACTACTTTTTCACGTTATGCTACTCTTTTGATACTATTTTTAGATTTCAGCCACTAAAAGCTACTATTTCTGTTTTTTTTAGAATTTCCACAACTCTTAATTCACTATTAGTAGAAATCAAAAAACTATTCTCAAAAATAATAATCAAATTCTTTAAAACGATTAAAAAAATATTCGAAATGCAATTATTTTCACAAATAAAGTTTTTCGCAAGAATTCAATTAATTAAAATAAAATTTTCATAATATTTATTTTATTTCGAAAAAATTAATTATTATTTAAAACAATGTTTATAAAATTCATATTATGAAGAATTCAATTTTTTTCAAAAATAACCAAATTTTTCAATTATTTTCATAAACAATAAAATTCATCTCAGAATTTCAATTATTTTTAATTCAATTTTACAGGAATTGCTCACAAAATGTCATTATTTTTAAAAATTTAATTCCAATTACTCGAAAAAATCAATTATTTGAAAAAATGCTTTTTTTATTTCTTTGGAAGAATTCAATTATTTACATACGAATTAGAATTTTTTACAGGAATTAAATTTTTTTGAAATAATTCAATTATTCTTTTAGATTTTAATAAAATTCTTCCCTATATTTCAATTATTTACATAAATAATCCTTCGAAAGAATTCAATTATGTCGATAAAGAAAAAAATTATGCCCGAAAATTCAATTATTTTGAGGCATTTTAATAAAATTCTTTACAAAATTCAATTAATTTTATAAATAACAATATTCATCACAAGAATTCAATTATTTTTAGAAGTAATACATTTTTTCTTGGAAATTCAATTATTATAAGAAAATTCTAATAAAATTGTTTTCAATAATTTAATTATTTTCAGAAATAATAAAATGCTTTTTAGGAATTCAATTATTTTAAAAAAAATTTAATAAAATGCCACACAGACATTTTCAATATCTACTATTTTCATAAAACTTCCAAACAGAATTCAATTGTTTAAAAAAAATTTTGTAAAAATCTTCGTAAGAATTCAATATTTTTGTGAATAATAAAAATTTCTTAGGAAATTAATTATTTAAAAGTAGAATTTGCATAAAATTATTCGAAAGAAATTAATTATTTAAAAATTTTTCAAAAACTCTTCGCAAGAATAAAATTATTTTTATAAATATTTCAATATTCTTTCATGAATAATAAAATTTTTTGCAGGAATTCAATTTATTAGTAAAATAAGAAAGAAGTAAATACATATTTTTGATAAAAATTAGGAAAAAGTCAGAAAAATAAAATGTAGAGTGGATTTTTTGTCAGGTTTGCTCTTTTTTTTATCGTCAAGTTCAATTCTTCGATAGCTAATTTTTTACTACTTTTTTAGTTTGAAAGCTACTTTTTGATACTATTTTAAAATTAATTATCGAGTGCAAAGTCTGTAATTGAATCAAACAATTTTTTTCCAGTGTAGATTTCTTAAAGGGAAAATTATTTTAAAAATAATGTCATAATTTTTCTAACATACTATTTCTTTCGGACTTTCCGCTCCGGACTGTATCCACCTCAATAGCCAATTACTGATGGTGACTGTATCTTGCACCTCTGAAAACATTGCGGGAACCGTGAATTGTGTTTTCGAACAGTGCAAGACACCAATGTAAAGAAAAATGTGCTGCGATTTGGTACAATCAGGATGTGTTATATAACAGGATAATTTTCCTGTCGCATCGACACAGAGACAAGCATCATCTAATTTTATTAATTTATTATATACGCGATTCTGATGGGGAGACCAAAAATGAACGTTAACTGGATCGAATCCAATATCGCGAACAATATCTTTTCCCTTCTGACTCCTTTTGAATTTTGAAAGCGCAACAATTGGATCAACATCTCGGTATTTCTCCTTTCGACTTTGATATTTCGCGTTCCTGGCTTTATACAAATGTGGAGGTTCTTTTAAGTCTCCTTCTCTCATATACTTATTCGCCATTTTTGCCCTTAAAGACTCAACAGATTCAGAATCCAATTCTTTCACTATTTTCTGTCTTGTTTCTCCTCGACATTGTCTCTTTCCACAATTTTTGTCACCTGCAGAAGCTGTACATCTAATTTTTATAATTTCATCTTCGTCTAATGAAGGTAAAATTACACACACGAGTTTACTTCCACACTTACAATGTCCTAAAATAGTTCCAATATGTATTATTATTATTTCTATAAGAAAATTCTGAATTTTTGGTGTCTTTTTGTTTCCTTTATAAACTATAAAACTACCACGAGTTCTAACAAAACAAGCTTCAACCATTTTTTCTATTTCTGACAAGAATGAATTTTTTAACATTATTCAATTATTTCAAAACTTTTAACGCAATTATCTTGATTAATAACAAAATTCTTCACAAGAGTTCAATTATTTTCAAAAGTAATAAAAGTCTTCGAAGAAATTCATATATTTTTTAAACTTTAACGAATGTCTCGTCAAGAATTAAACTATCTTTATAAATAGCAAAATTTTTGTACAAAAATTCAATTATTTTAAAAAAATTTTTGTAAATTCTTTGCAAAATTTTAATTATTTTCAAAAGTTTATCGCTATTTAACGATTTTCAATATTTAATATTTTCATAAAATTTATCAAATAATTTAATTCTTAAAAATTTTTTTAATATAATTCTATGAAAACATTTAATTATTTTCATAAATAATAAAATTATTCATGCAGAAATTCAATTATTTTTATCGCAGAATTTCAAATACTTTTAATACAATTTTAAATAATTTCCACGAAAAATGCAATTATTCTTAAAAATATTATTGAAACTTGACGAAAGAATTCAATTTGAAGAAACATTCAATTATTCAATAAAATATTAAAATTCATTGCAATAATTCTTTTATTTTCATAAATGACTTCTAATTCGTCGAAGAAAATTAATTATTTTCAAAATCTACTATTTTATTACAATTTTCTAATATAATTCAATTATTTAAAAAAATTATCTTTATAAATAATATTACTTATCACAAGAATTCAATTATTTTCAAAATTTTCGTCAGGATTTTAATTATTTTTATGAGCAGAAAAATTCTTCACCGAAATTCAATTATTTTCAAAATCTACTATTTTATTACAATTTTCTAATATAATTCAATTATTTAAAAAAATTATCTTTATAAATAATATTATTTATCACAAGAATTCAATTATTTTCAAAAATTTCGTCAGGATTTTAATTATTTTTATGAGCAGAAAAATTCTTCGCCGAAATTCAATTATATTCAAAATCTACTATTTTATTACAATGTTCTAATATAATTCAATTATTTAAAAAAATTTTGATAAAATTCTACACAAACATTCAATTATTTTCTATAAAATAATAAGAATTTTATAGGAAGTCAATTATTGAAAATAGAATTTGGATACATTTTTTCGAAAAAATCTATGGTTTAAAATTCTTTTATAAAATTTTTCGCAAAAATCCAATTATTTTCATAAACAATAAAACTCATCACAGTATCACAATTATTCAAAACTTTGATTATAAAATTCTTTATAAGAGGTTACTCTTAAGTAAATAACCTCTTAAGTAAATTAATTCTAAAATTCAATTTTAGTTTCATAATAATTACCTTTGAAGCCACCTGATTTTCGATCATTGTTAATATAATTACTATCAAACTGATAAGCATGACTTAGATGAAATTCGTCATAAATTCTTTTTGACATTAATTCCGTCCATTTTCCAGGGCTTAAAATATTTATGGTTCTAATACGAGGATTTCCTTTTTTGTCTTTATATTTTTTATTCGTTTCCACAATTAAGTCATCGAATTTAGATTTTCCGAATGTCAATGTAAATACTACATTGGATATCTCTTCCGAATAAGAGTCGTCG